GAGGGAAAAAGGGAAAAGGGAGGAAATGAGGGAAAATCAGGAAAAATGAGGGAAAATGAGGGGAAAATGAGGGAAAATGAGGGAAAAATAAGGGGAAATCAGGGATAATGAAGGGGAAATGAGGGAAAATGAGGGAAAAATGAGGGAAAGTCAGGGGAAAATGAGGGGAAAATGAGGGAAAATGAAGGGAGGAAATCAAGGAAAATCAAGGGAAAATCAAGGAGGAAAAATGAGGAAAATTCCAGGACAAGAGGAGGAAAAGTTGGGAAGTGGGATAAGAGCAGGAAAAGTGTTGGGAAACCGAGGAAAAAGAGGGGAAATTGGGAAAACTGCCTGAAAACTGAAGAGGAAAATGCAGAAAGATGTTTTTTTAAAAAAAGAAAAGCAGGGAGAGGAGGAATTGGGGGGTCCCGGCCCTTCCCACCCCTCCCCATTCCCGGGATTTTCCCTGCCGGGCCTGGAATGTGGGAGCTGCCTCCTTGGGGCCGATTTTTGGGGCAGTTCCTGCGGATTTTGGGGCCTCCCCCAGGGGAGGGGGAGCCCGGGATGCTCCTCAGTCCTCGCCCTTCTGGAGATTTGGGAATTCCAGAGGGATTCCAGAGGGATTCCAGAGGGATTCCAGAGGGATCCTCCTCTGCTTCCCCTTTGGGGCAAATCTGGGGGGGTTTGGGAAAATCCAGGGGGGTTTGGGGAGGTTTGGGAAGGTTTGGGAAGGTTTGGGAAGGGAAGGTTTGGGAAGGGAAGGTTTGAGGAAGGAAGGAAGGTTTGGGAGGAGAAGGGAAGGAAGGTTTGGGAAGGAAGGTTTGGGAAGGAAGGTTTGGGAAGGTTTGGGAAGGTTTGGGAAGGTTTGGGAAGGGTAGGGAAGGGAAGGGAAGGGAAGGGAAGGGAAGGGAAGGGAAGGGGAGGGAAGGTTTGGGAAGGTTTGGGAAGGGAAGGGAAGGGAAGGGAAGGGAAGGGAAGGGAAGGGAAGGGAAGGTAAGGGGAAGGGAAGGTTTGGGAAGGGAAGGTTTGGGAAGGGAAGGTTTGGGGAGGAAGGAAGGTTTGGGAGGAAGGGAAGGTTTGGGAGGAAGGTTTGGGAAGGTTTGAGGAAGGAAGGAAGGAAGGGAAGGGTTGGGAAGGTTTGAGGAAGGAAGGAAGGAAGGGAAGGAAGGGAAGGGAAGGGGAAGGGGAAGGAGGAAGGGAAGGGAAGGAAGGAAGGGAAGGGAAGGGAGGAGAGTTTGGAGGAAGGGGGGTTCCCACAGGGCTGTGATTCCCACACGGGTCCGGCTGCATTGCTGGAATTCCAGAGGAATTCCAGAGGCCAATCCCCTGGGAACGGCCCCTTCCTTCCCTTCCCTTCCCAAACCTTCCCTTCCCGTGGGATTTCCGGGACACTCGGAATTCCGGCCCCAGGAATGGGGGGGAAAGGCCGGGAGGGAGGAGGAGGAGGAGGAGGAGGAGGAGGAGGAAGAGGAGCAGGAAGTTCCTCCTGCTGCTCCCGAGCCCAAAATATTCCCGGTTCAGCCCGGATTGTCCCTAAAAACGGCAGGAGAAGCCGCGGTAACCACGGCAACGGAGCCCAGCCCCCCCCAGAGAGCCCAAATCCAGGGAATTCCACCCAAAACTCGGGGAATTCCACCCCAAACTGAGGGAATTCGACCCAAAACTGAGAGAATTCGACCCAAAACTCAGGGAATTCCACCCCAAACTGAGGGAATTAAAGTCAAAACTCAGGGAATTCAACCCAAAACTGAGGGGATTAAAGCCAAAACTCAGAGAATTCAACCCCAAACTGAGGGAATTCCACCCCAAACTGAGGGGATTAAAGCCAAAACTCAGGGAATTCCACCCCAAACTGAGAGAATTCGACCCCAAACTGAGGGAATTCGACCCAAAACTCAGAGAATTCCACCCAAAACTCAGGGAATTCCACCCCAAACTGAGAGAATTCGACCCAAACTCAGGGAATTCCACCCAAAAATCGAGGGAAACAAACCCAGAATTCAGGGAATTGGAGCGAAACCGAAGGAATTGAACCCAAACTAAGGGAATCAGACACAAAACTGGATGAACTAAACCCGAAACAGAGGGAATTTCACCCGAAACTGAGGGAATTTCACCCCAAGCTCAAGGAAGCCGACGCAAAACTGAGGGAATTTCACCCAAAACAGAGAGAATTTCACCCAAAACAGAGAGAATTTCACCCAAAACAGAGAATTTCACCCGAAACTGAAGGAATTCAACCCAAAACAGAGAGAACTTCACCCAACACTGAGGGAATTTCCCCCAAAACAGAGCGAGCTGTACCCAAACAGAGAGAATTTCACCCAAAACAGAGAGAATTCCACCCAAAACTGAAGGAATTCAACCCCAAACTGAAGGGATTCCACCCAAAACTGAAAGAATTCCACCCAAAACTGAAGGAATTCCACCCCAAACTGAAGGGATTCCACCCAAAACTGAAAGAATTCCACCCAAAACTGAAGGGATTCAACCCAAAACTAAAGGGATTCAATCCAAAACTGAAGGAATTGAACCCAAAACTGAAGGAATTCCACTCAGAACAGAGAAAATTAAACCCAAAACTGAAGGGATTCCACCCAAAACTGAAGGGATTCAACCCCAAACTGAAGCAATTCCACCCAAAACTGAAGGAATTCCACCCAAAACTGAAGGAATCCCACCCAGAACTGAAGGGATTTCCCCCAAACCGCGGGAATTCTCCCCGAAATCCAGGGAATTCTGCCGGCCCGGAGGGAATTCCTCCTTCCCTCCCCCCCCCAGCGCGAGTCTCTCCCAGGATTAACCCGGAACCCTTCGGGAATTCCGGGCAAACCCCTCCCAGCTCCGCCGCTTCCCACGCTCCGGGGGGGTTTTTTGGGGACCCCTCCCCGATCCCGAGGGGGATTTGGGGATCCCCCCCCCCCATCCCGAGCCCTCCGGAACTTCCCCCGCCCGGAATTCCCAACAAAACCCGCGGGATCGGCCCCGAAATCTCCTCCTTTCTTCCCCCTCCCCCCAAAAAAGTGATACCCCCCCCACTCCATCCCACCCCTCATTAAAGGGGACCCCCAAAACGTCCTGAACTCCCCTCAGGAGAGACCCCAAAACGTCCTGAACCCCTAAAACGTCCTGAACCCCCAGACCCCCAAGGACCCTAAAACATCCTGACCCCAAATCGTCCTGAACCCCAAAACGTCCTGAACCCCCCAGACCCCTCAGAGTTGTCCCCCCAAAACGTCCTGACCCCTCAGACCCCCAAAAACGTCCTGAACCCCCTCAGGGACCCCCAAAACATCCTGACCCCCAAAACGTCCTGAACCCACCTCAAGGAGTCCCCCAAAACGTCCTGACCGCCCTCAAAACGTCCTGAACCCCCAAAACAGTCCTGAACCCCCTCAGGGACCCCCAAAACATCCTGAACCCCCTCAAAACATCCTGAACCCCAAAAGTCTGAACCCCCTCAGGGACCCCCAAAACATCCTGAACCCCCAGCGGACCCCTCAGACCCTCCGGGTCACAGACCCCTCAGACCCCCCTGAGTCCCCTCAGGCTGACCCCTCACAGGGACCCTCAGGACCCCAGATCCCCTCAGGGACCCCTCAGAGACCTCACCCGATCCCCTCAGGGACCCCGGATCACCCCGATCCTCCTCAGACCCCAGTCCCAGTGATCCCCTCAGACCCCTCGATCCCTCCAGACCCCAGCTCGCAGTCCCCTCAGACTCCCCGATCCCCTCAGACCCCTCTGATCCCCCTGTATCCCCTCAGGAGCCTCCTCGGGACCACCTCGGTCCCCTCAGGACCCCCGATCCTCAGACCCTCAGTACCCCCTCAGACCCCTCTGCAGTCCCTCAGGGACCTCCTGCGGACCCCCGATCCCCTCAGACCCCTCAGATCCCCTCAGAGACCCCTCTGGGACCCCTCAGATCCCCTCAGGGATCCCCTGATCCCCTCAGACTCCCAGTGTCCCCTCAGACCCCCTGATCCCCTCAGGGATCCCCTGATCCCCTCAGACCCCTCAAGACCCCCGATCCCCTCAGTGTACCTCCCAGGCCCGAGTCCCCCAGGGATCCCCTAGACCCCTCAGACCCCTCAGAACCCCCGATCCTCACAGGACCCTTCTAGGCCCCCTGATCCCCTCAGACCCCCGATCCCCTCAGTGCCCCTCAGAACCCCCGATCCCCTCAGACCCCCAGATCCCGATCCTCACAGACCCCTCAGACCCCCGATCCCCTCAGGGATCCCCCTGATCCTCAGACCCTCCAGTGCTCCTCAGACCCCCGATCCTCCCAGACCCCTCAGACCCCTAGTCCCCCAGATCCCCCCAGATCCCCTCAGACCCCCGATCCCTCAGACCTCCCGATCCCCTCACAGACCCTCAGACCCCCGATCCCCTCAGACTCCCACTGACCCCTCAGACTCCCCCGATCCCCTCAGACCCCCAGATCCCCACAGACCCCTCAGACCCCCCACCTTCCTCTGCTGTTTCTCCCAGGCAGGGTCGAGGCAGGAGGTCCCGGTCCCGATCCCCTCAGACCCCTCAGACCCCTCCGATCCTCAGACCCCTGACCCCCAGATCCCTCAGACCCTGATCCTCAGAACCCCCGATCCCCTCAGAACTCCCCCGATCCTCAGACCCCCTGATCCCCTCAGACCCCCCAGTCCCCTCACAGACCCCCACCTTCCTCTGCTGTTTCTCCCAGGCGGGGTCGAGGCAGGAGGTCCCAGTCCCGATCCCCTCAGACCCCTCAGAGCCCCTCGATCCCCTCAGACCCCCGATCCCCTCACAGACCCCCACCTTCCTCTGCTGTTTCTCCCAGGCGGGAGTCGAGCAGGAGGTCCCGGTCCCGATCCCCTCAGACCCCCCTGACCCCCTCGATCCCCTCAGACCCCTCAGTCTCCCCTCAGACCCCCCCACCTTCCTCTGCTGTTTCTCCCAGGCGGGGTCGAGCAGGAGGTCCCGGTCCCGATCCCCTCAGACCCCCCCGATCCCCTCACAGACCCCTCAGACCCCCCCACCTTCCTCTGCTGTTTCTCCCAGGCGGGGTCGAGCAGGAGGTCCCGGTCCCAGTCGTCCTCCTGGGCCATGTAGTCGCCGTTGGGGCCGGGCCCGTTGCCGCCGTAGGCGTGCTGGGGCTGCGCGGCGCTGTGATAATCCACCATGATCGCGGCCCTGGGCCCCCCTCCTGTCGCGACAGGCGCCGGAATCGCGACCGGGCCCCCACCCCACCCCCGTGCCCCGCCCACTGCGCACGCGCCGCGCCCGCCCTGGCCGCGCCCGCGGAGGGCGGGGAGAACAACGCGCAGGCGCGGGGGGAGAGGCCACGCCCACGCGCGCCTTCGGAACACGGCCCGGAAAGACCCCGCCCACCGCCCGCGGGGAGGCCACGCCCACGGAGCCCCGCAAGCCACGCCCATCGCCCCACGGAGGCGCGTCACGAGGTCGGGCCACGCCCTTCGGACACGCCCACCCCCGTGACGCCGAGCCACGCCCATCGCCCCCTCACAACTCAGGCCACGCCCACCGCCCATCACAACTCAAGCCACGCCCACCGCCCCTCACACCCACTGAGACCACGCCCACCCCTCAGGCAAGCCACGCCCTCCGCCCTCAGACCGCCCCCCCCCTCCCCTCAGGCCCTTCAAGAACGACCCCAGCGCCAGAGGAGCCTCTTTACTGGTTTAAATGGTATGGGGGGATCAGGGGGCGGGGAGAGGGTATTGAGAGGTTCAGGGAGCTCCGTTTTGGGGGCTCCGTGTCTGGCGGGGGCTCAGAGTGAGGATGCCATGATGCTTGACACGCCTGGGGGGGACACAGGGGTCGGGGGGGGATCCAGGACCCCTCTGGGGCCCCCAAAACCCCCTCGGGACCCCAAAATCCCATCCAAAATCCACCCCAGGATGCCCAAACCCCCTCAAGAGCCCAAACCCCCTCAAAATCCCCTCAGGACCTCCAAAATCCCCTCAGACCCCAAAACCCCTCAAAATCCCCTCAGGATCCCCAAAATCCCCTCAGACCCCCAAAACCCCCTCAAAATCCCCTCAGGACCCCCAAAACTCCTCAAGATCCCTAAAACCCCCTCAAAATCCCCTCAGGACCCCAAAACCCCCTCAATATCCCCTCAGGATCCCCAAAATCCCCTCAGGATCCCAAAACCCCTCAAAATCCCCTCAGACCCCAAAACCCCCCTCAAATCCCCTCAGGACCCCAAACCCCTCAAAATCCCCTCAGGATCCCCAAAATCCCCTCAGGACCCCCAAACCCCTCAAAATCCCCTCAGGCCCCCAAATCCCCTCAGGACCCCAAACCCCCTCAAAATCCCCTCAGGACCCCCAAATCCCCTCAGGCCCCCAAATCCCCTCAAAATCCCCTCAGGACCCCCAAATCCCCTCAGGACCCCAAA